TCATCATCAGATTAACTTAAAATATGCTGGGCTAAACTATCCTAAGAGTCTTAAGTTGACCTGCTGCTTTTAGCCCAGGCAAAGACACCTAAAGTATTTGAGTTAATGTTGGCAGGACATGATCAGTTTCTTGGGGGCAGAAACCTCTAGAGCTTTCACAATGACTTAAATAATAAATAATTGAACAGCACAAAGAAACATTTAAGATTTTATACAATAATCACAAATCACAATAACCAATATCTTTACCATATCCAATAGTTATGTAGTGTTAGATTTAGTAAGGTCTTCCTACAGATTTATCCTGAAAGGTGGGTGTGAAGAAGTTTACCTACAATTCCCAGAAAAACCTTAAAACTTTTAGATTCCTAGTAAACTCACTTATCTCTCTTTGACAAAAAGAACCTGGCTTCAGTTTTGTTTACCCGTCCCAGGAAATCCTTAAAGTTTTAGAAACTGCCTTATTTCCCTTTGAAAGCAAACTTCCCCTTCCAGCTCCCTTCATTATCTATTCTCATTGTCTGTTCAAATCACTCAGACATTCCACATGGAAATTCTCACCTGGACCCTTTTCCAAATGGTCCACCTCCCCCATCAACTGGCTTTCCCATTGTTTGGCCTTCCTGGCCATTCCCACCCTTAATCCTAGCTAGGCCAGTGTTCCTTTCACCCCAGCTTGCTGGCCACCCCCATCCAGATCTCCCTAGACCCCTCCTCCCCTCACCCCAAAGTGCTTGGCCACTCCTTGGACCCCTCCTCCCATCACTCCAAACTGGATGGCCCCTCCGTCTGTACTCAAGGCTCACCTTTCCCCCATTCTGATGCTGAGCTGTTCTCAAGCTTAGAAGCTGAGGCCTCTCATGCCCGCCCATCAGCTCATCACCTGGCCTATCCACCCTAGCCCCGACTCAGACACTGAGCTTTCTAGACTGCCTTACTGCTGCTCATCCTTGTGAGCATCACCTGACCACATTGAACCCTATTTAGATCACTGATGTTTGGGTTCCTTTGAAGTCTGGTCTATATGCTTATCTTTAATAAACCTTTTCTCTGGCTGGAAGAAGATCTGAGTTGAATTCATTCAGGCAGATCCATGTCGTGATTTGGGCTTTTTCCCCGAGATCTTGGGGTGCCTCTGTGCATCTAAGAGCACTCCAAAGCCCCCCTCTCTTCAGGTGGACAGGATTAACTGGATGATTATCTATCCTTATCCTTATAAGTAAGGATATATAGAATATAGCTGATTAAAGAGTGATTTCTAAAAATCATTTCCTTTGCAATTTCTAGTTCTTAAAGTCAAATCACTACACTTTAAATATTTAAGCATGGGGCTAGATCTTGAAACCTTAAAACACTGACATCCCAACTCAGTTACTAATCTACTACTGATTATTATTTTATTTACATCAATCTCCTAACAGTTAAATCCATAACCCTAAATAATTAAAAAATTCACATTTCTATCTTTTTAATAGAGTAAATCATCAAATTTATATTGGCATTATCTTTATAGATATTACATATCACATAATTGGGGTAACTTGGCTTAAAACCACTCAGCTAACAAGTTTCCTGATTTAGTATTATCACAAACAAACAAATTTCACTTAAAATGAGACCACAATAAATTCAATTACACCTGGTACTATTTTCCAAATACTACCATATAGAAATTGCTTTTATTTAGTATTATATTTTACACAAGGCTTATTTATTTCAAGTATTTTATATTGTGGGATTCACTATTTTCAGCTCATCTACTACCAAAGATTTTAAAGTGACAGTATATAACAAAAAGGGCTTGAAACACATGGTGTCCTCTATTTCAATTCCCCCTAGCCCTCTATGACTTTGTCTATTGACTTTCACATCAAACTTCAAAATTTTCATTCTCAATATTTCTACTTAAAGTCAAACTTCCTCACACCCTCCCAACACACTTAAACCATATGAAGCTGGTACAAGAGCACCCAGAACAACTATCCACCAACAGGAGGAGCTTGGAACATGTGGGCTTGCTGCTGCCCTCCTGCTTTTTAAGCAGGGTATGTCCCCAATTTGTCCCCAGACCTTCTTATCTGCCTTCCATATTTTCACTCACACCTTCATTTCTCTTTCTAAATCTTTCAAACCCATTATTCAATTTTTCCAACTTTCCTTTATATTTCAAACACGTCCCAGACTGCACTACTATTGTTAAATCAATGTTTTATTAAAACCCTAATTTCCCAAGCTGTGGACTTAATTTCAACCCAGGGGATTCTCATCATTCATCTTCATATCACAAAATTCAGATGTTCTCAAGATCAAAGAGTTCCAAATCTCTCATTCTGCCAAAAGGAAATAGGAACCTGCATTGTCTATCCTAATATAGGAAGAAGTTTGTGGGACAAATCCTTAAAAAAAATTCTTTTAAGACATTCTTCATGATTGCAAACACTTTTAGGAGATATGCAGTGGCTTATGTTCCTGTTGAAACATAAGAGTAGTGGTCCTGGCTTTTCCCAAACCCTGTTAACAGATTACAAAAGGCTTGACCACCTAATCAACAGTTTTCCAAATTAAAAATCATACCCCCACTCCTTTTTGTCCTGCTTCCCTTCACCTTTTAGAATCAGGAGAGGGTTAACAATAATTTACAAATCAAGAGGTGTTATTTCTCTCACACCCTTCACCAACATTACCTATTTTTAAAAAAAGCAGCTTTTAAAATGTTACTATACGTTTTAAACAAATTACTGAAATCCTAAAGTGATTATCTTCAAGGCTATGACATAAAAACCCTAATCAAAGTGTCTTCCAAGACAAAAAAACCTGATTTTTTTGCAGTTTTAAACACATTTCCCTGAGGTCAAACTTTTTGAGAGGGCACATAGTTCTCCAGATTTAAACATAATTTACAAACTTTAGCTTTGGGACTTAATTAAACCTGAATCATCTAATTTAGGAATAGCAAAAATCTTAGCTTTCACTCATCAGGTCTTGCTATCTTCAGACCTCTCTGTCTAGATCTTTATCAGTGGAAAGCTGCTGCTAGAGCTTAATCTCCCTCCCCCCCCAGAAAAAAACAACTTGGCTTTTTTATTCAGAGAGAGAAATCCCTTCTCTGATTACACCTCCCAAAACTCGGAGAGTCTCACCCTAATTTTTCAGTTCCCTTACTTAACAAGCTAATCTTAGAAAACCTCACACAAATGGACATATAGACAAATGGAACAGAGCCTTAGTGACCCAGAAAGTGAAAAGTTAAGATTAAAAACTACTTTCTTTTCTTGCTTTAATATCTCACTTAGTTTACTCATTTTACCTGACAGCAAGTATCCTTTTGACATACCTCTGCCTGAAAACATTAAGAATAGGGCCTCTTAAGGCCCTCTTGGGCAGTTTTACATACCTCTACCCTTTAATTCCTTCCACACACACAGCTTAATTTAAATGTAACCCCAAAAGCTTGAAAGTAAGGATTATAGCTTCAGAGATTCTCTCACAGAGTACTGGTCTGCTGTATCTCTCCTTTTGAAACCCTGGCCCTGCAAGAAATTTGGACTATATTGTTGGGACTTTGGCAGCTTACCAAGCAACTGGCTACATAAGCTGAATATCCATTATGCCCCAAATTACTTCAGGTGGCCCTTTAACTGTGTACACAGGTTTTCTCTCTCATCCCCGTATAGCTTCCTTCAGAGGATCTTTTTTCAAGTAGAAGCAACTACCTGATGATTGCCTCTCTGTGAAAATGAAAATTAGAGAGAAAAACAAGCTGCAGAACAAACACTAAAAAAAAAGATATATAGACAAATATATGCTTATCTAGATAAAATTTACTTACTGATATAAGGGAGAGTCACACCATGGTCTGAGTCCAAACACAGAACTCTTCTTGTAGAGGAACTCCATATGGGCCCAATTGAGGGGAGCTCCTAGTTAAGAATCTAGAGTGGAAGGCTCTAATCCCTTCATGGTTAGTGATAACTGTCACATTTTAAAAGTTTCAAGAGACAGTTCCTGGGTAATTTAATCATTTTATCAATAAATCCACCAGGTCATTAATAAAAGAATAGTCTTTTGGTGATCTATCTCAGACCAAAGATAATCCTGGCTGAGTGGCTGAGGGACTTGCAGTTTACACCACCTTTAAAAGAGTAGGTGGTTCATCAAACAGCAATCAAATCTAATTGATTAAAGTGAATGGAGCTGGGCTATATTAAAATGAAGGACTGAAAAGCTCTTTGAGAAATTATCTCTCTATCAGACCAACCATAGCTTTAGGCTATCAGTTCAAAGAATGTATAAAGCACCCAAGTCAGAACAGAATAGAATAGCTTCTACCAGAGTGGGGCCTTGAATAAGAAAGTGAACCCAATCTCATCATCAGCATTGTCCTTAAGAACTGAATTTAAAGTCAGGATAAGTACTGACTTTAAAAGAAGAAGGGCAGGGGAGCTCTGAATCTCCCCAAACTATTGGTTATTAATAATCATCTCTCACAATACAAATATTTTTTTCTTTTTTTTCCTTTTTTTTCCCCCATAAGCTGTCATTTACTATTTAAGTTGAAGAACAGGTTATGAAGGGGGTGGAGGGCACATTCATAACAGAGAGTTTAAGGTGGAGCCCCCAGGAAGAGGGAAGAAGGGAGGAGACAGGGAGATGACAGGATCTCCTCTGTGTCTCCTCTAGATGGGATTGATCCTGATTTCTAAGCCTTGGTCTAGGGCACACAATGAAGCACATGATAAGATTGATGTTCTAGGGGCTATAGGTTTAGGAAACTTCAAGGGGTGGCCAACATTACACATCCAAACAGAGGTGGGGGCTGGGATTTTCCTTGCCTCAGCAACCCTGCTTCCTTTTAGGAACTGAAGTATAGTGATAAGTTCCATCCCACTTATTTCAGCTCTTATGAAACATTCTTTTAGTTAAAGTCTTAGAGCTAAAGAATTCTTTCATGACCTGTCTAACTTCTTCTACTTTAATTCTATTTTCTTTGAATATGCATACTACTTGTAAGCTGCCTGCCTAAGAGCTGCTACTTGCTCCTCAATTAAAGTGATCTGATCCAGATAAGGCTGAAGTGCTGCATATTTCTGGCTTAAGTCCTTTAGATTTCCACTTATGTTTACTGCAATATCTTTCATTTCTAGATACTCCAAGTTAGTCAGTTTGTTCATATTTTCCAGAAGTTTATAGTCTTCATTGGTAGCTATCAGCTTGCCTGTCAGGTAGTTGGCCATTTTGGAGAATATGTCCTGGCACAGCCTCATGATGTCAGCTTCATCGGGCTCCCTGGTCCCCTTGGCTGTCTCCATCATTGCATCATCTAGGCTGGGGAAGTAGAAAAAAAAGAGAAAGAATGGAAGGAAGGATGGGAATGAGGGAGAATGGGGTAAGGAGGGGAAGAAAGAGGGGAGAGGAAGAGAGGGAAGGGGAGAAAAAGGGAAAGGTGAAGAGTCAGAGAAGGAGGTAAGGAGAGGCTACAAATGATTTTTTCTAGGTTCATTCAGTGTGCTAGATTCTCTCTGAATCCAATGCTCTTTCCACTATGAAAAAGAGAGGGAGACCCACTTAGTTTTCAACTCCCTCTGGAGGAATAACAATCTACTTACTTCTGTTTTTTACTTATTTTACTTCTCCTCCTCTGGAGAAGTAAGAGAAGTGGATTCTTACAGGAGTCAAAAAATTCAATCTAAGAATGATAAACAAAGTTGACTGGCCCACTCAGAAAAATAACATAATAAAGTGAAACATGTTGAGGCTTCTACTTCAGAAATCTGGGACTGCTGATCAACTTTTCTCTAGAGAAAAATGCACATATTTACCCTTCTTAGAATTATGGAAGCATTCTATGGCTGTTGCTTCTAGTGCCTTCAAACATCTTCTAAAATCAAAGAATTAAAGAATCTTAGAAATGGAAGAAAACTCAAAGTTCCAAGCTATTTCTAACCAAAAATTATCTTCTATAATATTCTTTCTAACCCCTTGTCTAACAGTGTTTGTTTAACCTTCCTTTGAAGACCTCAAATGATGGGAAGATTACATCCTTTAAAAGCATTCAATTCAACTGTAACCACTCTAAGTATTGAGATCTGTCCTGGTTTAAACTAATGTTTAAGGTTCTAGTTTCTGATAAGATGCTAGAAGTGATAGGTCTGGTGTCTGTGCATTCATTGATTATGTAGGTCCAAAGACCTCTCCCTTGATATCATCAGGATACAAATAGAATGCGTAGATTATGCACTGGTAATTTTTTGTTCTTACCGCACATTCAGCTCATCTTCTGTTTCAACAATACATTTCTTTGGTGATATCCTTTGTTCTACTTTTTCTTTGATGTTCCATCTTTCTTATGTGTTGCATCCTGATGATATGTATCTCTCCATTGCTTTCTGAGTAATAATAATTTTTAATTCTTCAGAGACTGTTGTGTCATGCTTCATGTTCAGACAAGCCTGAATCTAGATCTAAGCCACTTTCAACCTCTGCTTTCAATTCTGCCCTCTGGGGTAAATGGAACAAGTATATTCCCTCTCCACATGACAGTCTTTAAGATAATCCAAATGTTCCCTTTATAATAAAGAACTTCCCCAGATGAACCCCAGTTGGAGTCTTTACTCTGTACTCAAACTTTACAACTAGCCCCCAAAAATGTCCTTCCAGAAATAGAAGGTGTTCATAAAAATCCTTTGATAAATAAAGAATTCAATTTTAACTTTGGCATTTTTAAACATTCAGTGAGTTTCTACTGTTTTTTTAAACTTTTTTTTCTTTTTAGTTCAATATTCTGAGGAATTCTGAAGTTAAAACTTCAGATTCCACAAAGAGTGATAAAAAGTTCAACTATTCATTGAAGTACTTAAAATCCCAAAGGCCTTTAAGAACTGTAATTTAAATATTGATAATTTGTAGTCTGTAGCCTAGTATTTAAAGTGTGACACTGAAATGCAAAAGGAAATCATGGTGCACTATGCACAGAAGCTTTGGGGTTTATTACATAATCTAATATTCAATTTTTTCTTGATTGTCCTAATATTATTGACTGTTATGCATTTTTAAAAATTCAGAATGTAGCCAATTAGTACTTAAATAGATGTATAAAATATTATAGAAGCAATATGATACAGTGGATAGTGTATTTTTGGAGTTATGAATAGACAAATTCAATTTAATCCTTTATATTCTGTGACCCTAATACCTATTATTATTTCTGAGTCTCAAGTAATCACTTAAAACTTGTATACCAAGATTGTACTGGTGGAGGAGTGTCCCACACTCATGAAATCAAAATCTTTACATATTCACATTTTGAATATCATCATTCAATAAGTTTCTCCTCCCAAGTCTCTTCTTTGTGTGGAGAGTTTGAAGGCTATACCAACAAGGCACAAACTCTGACAAGTCTTAGCAAACTGGAAAAGTCTGAAGATATACTATCTATCTGTCACCTGAAGATCAGCCTAACTAACTTTGAAATGTTTCTTGACTGGTTACCAAATGATGATATTTTCAGACATTCAGAAATACCTGGATGCAATATACTAATGTATACAAGAGGTATGATTTCTATTGATGGAGGGTACACTCATATCATTGAAATCAATGATGTAGAAAAAAATATATGTGGAAGAAATTATCATTTCCATATGTATGAAAGCCCCAGATGATATTCAACTGAATTTATGGGAGCGAATTCAAATTAGAAATGAAACCCACAATGCTAATATGAAATATTACTGAATGGTCATTTCTCTTGGTAATTTTGGACCAAAAAGCATGGCAAATACTAATGATCATCAAAATTCATTTTATTGATGGAATAAATGTTCTCTCTTATAATATCATTCGCTAGAAACAAAGTATTTTACATATATGTGAACTATATGGTGTGTTTGTGTGTGAGTGTGTGTGTGTGTGTGTGTGTGTGTGATGCCATATCTACATTTCCACAAAGACTATGGGAGGCTAACTATAGAATCTTCTTTACAGAAATAAAAAAGACCTAAATAATTGCAGAAAAACTAATTGCTTGAGGATGGGTTGAGACCAATATAATAAAAATCAAAATATCACCTAAACTGACTTAGTATTGTACCAATCAGACTTTCAAAAGATCACTTTATAGACATAAAATGACAGTGAAATTCATATGCAGGAGCAAAAAAAGTCAAGAATCTCAAGCATAATTTTTTTAATGGTAATGAAAGAGAGTCTATCAGTAACATGTCTTAAAGCAGTACTCATTAAAATCATGATACTTAAAGAAATCAATCAGTGGAACAGATTAAAAACACAACCTATGAAAGCAAACAAATACACTAGCATGCTGTTTGATAAATCTAAGGACCTCAATTATTTGGGGAAAGACTAATTTATTGAGAAAAAATTCAATAGGAAACTTAGAAAGCAATTTGTTACAAATTTGGAGGAATATTAAAAGACCTAAGCAGAGCACCTCTATTATGTTGAGTAGTTACTCTACAAGGAATTTGTGTCAGAATATAGATAAAAATCACTTAAGATGAGATGTGTATGAGTGAGGATTCACACCATTGGAAAGAGAAGACATTGATAAGATGACAGATGAATTGCTGAATTGTGCATGACAAATTCTGGATTGAAACTCAGGAGACCTTTGTTCTAGACCACTATTATCTTCTCTGGGACTCAGCTGCCTCATTTGAAAAATAATGTAGTTGGATGAGATGACCACTAAGATTCCCTCCAGTTCTAGCATTATGCCATGCCATAAAAATCTGAATATTTGAAGTATAGTCAAAAGATATTCAAAGTATAGTCAAAAGATGTTCAAGCTAGTTCTGACGTTTATAAGTTATGACCATGGTATCATTTAACTGCTCTGAGATTCAGTTTCTTAAACTGTAAAAGTAAAAAAAAAATCCTGTTCTGGTTATCTCACAGGACATTTATGAGGATACAAAGATAATATATGGGAAAACTCATTCCAGTTTACAAAGTGCTATACAAATTTAACTAGTGTTGCTTGATTAGCCAATTAAATGAACAATTATTTAATTTTCATATCATTAGTAACAACCTACTCCAGCAATCTAACTACTCAAGGGAAAAATACCTAAATGAAAAGTGGACAGGTTAGATTTAGAGAATTATAAAACAGACCCCAGAAGTCATCTAATTGTATCTCTAAATTATCTCTTACAAGTAGTCAATAAACCCTTGCCTGAAGATTTCTAGGGAAGGAGAACTCACTATCTCAAAGGAAATTAATTCCATATGTATGTATCTATGATTATTAGGAAGGGTTATCTTCCTTTATACTGAAATATATTTATCTCCTTTTAACTTCTAGCAGAATCTTTAGAATGTTATTTTTGTTTTTGTGACCAAGAATTCCTTAAATTTCTTTCATATAAAACTTCTCAAATATTTAAAGACAGTCCCCATGTACCTCAAGTAGAATACTTTGAAATATTTTCGCTTCAGATAGTTAAGGGGAATGTAGATGTGGTAATAACATAGAGCAGGTGGAAGTTTTGTCGTAGTTGTCATTATGCTGGGAAAGATGGAAACCCGAAGACTTTGATCCTTGATCTCATGGGGCATTTGGGTAGTAGAAGGGTATAACAGCAGCAGATCCTTGGGGTAGCAGTTTAGTGGTGATTGTGGTGGAGTGCTCAGAAAGGACCATCATATTCAGGAATTATTATTCCACAGGGCACATTCCATCCTGGGAAGGAAGTCCTGAAAGATTATTGCAGTCTCACAAACATAACTATCCTGATATGAAGAAACTCAGTGTTAAGTTATGTGTCTTTGTACCCTTTAAATCTTACTGTCCCAGGCTAAATATCCTCAGACCAAACAACCTATGTTCACATAAAATGGATTCACAATCCTAGTCCTGTGCACTTCAGAATGTTTCAGATTGTCACTGCTCTTCCCAGAATGTAACACCTAGAATTGAACATATTAGTGTAGGTATGGTCTGAATAAAATTGAGTGTTATGGGATTATCAGTCATCTCTCTCATTCTTTATTCTATTCCTCTATTGATCGAACTTTGAATGTGAGAATGATGTGCAACAGATGGAAAGCCAGATAGCATCGATTACTCATAAAATGTTAGGAGATTTAAAAGAGGAATGGATACCCTATGGAGAATATTGTGAAGATACTAACAAGAGTCAAGCAGAACGACAAGTCATGGATGGGTTACCATTAGTAATACTGGAGAAAATACCCATATCAATGAGCTTGC